ATAGATCTAGTAATAGGGTTAGGTAATACGGCTTTCCGTAAAAAAATGCATAGATCTACAAAAGCCGACCACCGAATCGACCGGGCGCCTCGGTCTCCCCTGCACTCTGATTCAATATTATATTTAAACAAAAATGCTAATCAATGAAAATTGCAAATTGATAATAATAGTATAGTCCTGTAGAGGATAGGTGGACTCCGGGGTCTGCATAGCGAAATACTAGGTTTTAGGATGTGGACACCGGAGTCACCGTAGTGAAATAAGGTTTGGTTTAAGTAAGGATTGGTACTAGGTTTTAGGACAGGTGGACCCTGGGGTCACCGCAGTGAAATAAGTAGGTTTCTTTAAAGATTGGTGGAACCGGATTGGTGAACCCCCGGGACACCTTGATTAAACCTACTTATTTTACTACGGTGACTGCAGGATCCACCTATTCTAAAACCTAACTAGTGTTTCGTTAGGTAGACCCTGGGGTCCACCTTAAACCTACCTATTTCACTACGTTGACTCCAGGGTCCACCAATCCTTAAAATTAAACTTAGATCTATCTACATGTACTTATTTCACTACATTGACCCCAGGGTCCACCAATCCTTAATTAAACCTAGATCTACTGATTTCACTACATTGACCCCGTGGTCCTCCAATCCTTAATTAAACCTATATCTACTTATAATTTCACTACTTTGACCACGGGCTCTGCCAGTCCTATTATAAAATAAACTTAGATCTACTTATTTCATTATGTTGACCCCGGGGTCCACCGATCCTTAGTTAAACCTAGATCTACTTATTTCACTACGCTGACTCCGGGGTTCACATCCTAAAACCTAACATTTTGTTAGGTAGACCCCGGGGTCCACCTATCCTTTTGGCTAGATAGACCCCGTAGTCCGCCTATCCACTTTCTTGATAATAACTGAAAACAATACATGCCAGTTGTCATTTATAGTGAAGAAAAATGAGGGGGGAAAAATATAATTAGGTAGACTTTAATTTGTCCAAAAAATTGCAAGTGCAAGTGAAGATCATAAAATAATTTTGTTATTTTCTGGTCACCTTTCCAAGGACCTTAAATTGATTCTACATCACATGTCATGTACGATACGGCTGTGAAGGAAAATGGATGTGAAGAGTTTTTAAAAAATAATAATGTAACTTGTAAAGAAAACAATGCTTTACATTGGTTTGGTTATTTTGACTACATATGTGGCCTAAATAAGGTAAGGGAGGGGGGTTTGGCTTATTTAGGCCACAGGTGTGGCCTAAATAAGGTAAGGGAGGGGGGTTTAGCTTATTCAGGCCACCTGTGGCCTAAATAAGGTCACCCTTATTTAAATCAGTCATCGATAAATATAGACATTGCTTTTCATTTCAGCTTTCAAAGAAGATTTTGAAACTGAAAGTTCACTTTCTTTCTTTTCTTGTTTTCTTCCGCTTGTACCGGTGGGTGTCGCGGGGAGACACATGCATCTGTCTGTAGCAGGCGAGTGGCCTGTAGGAGCTCTGAGGTTCACAATTCGTTGTTTAAAAAAATTAAATTTAATGTAGATGTTTTACGCCCCCATCGACACAATTTAGATAATGAAGGAAACGGCCTTCCGAAACAGCCTGTCAGGGCCAACGCATTTCCAATCTCACTGCGAGACTGTTTTTCTCATAGAAATTTTAACAAATACACACACACACACACACACACACACACACACACACACACACACACACACATATATGTGTGTGTGTGTGTGTGTGTGTGTGTGTGTGTGTGTAAATGTAGCATAATACTGTGTTTTACGTACGCGCATGTCGATTAGTTTTTAAGATGTGATGTCTTTTTCGATGTAATGCGCACTGAGCATTTCTTAAAAAATGGAAATGCACAGTATAAATGCTATTTATTATTATTATTATTTAACTTGGGCTGGCAGAAAGACCGATCGAGACACTCGACAAAAATTCTCCCAACCTGGGAATCAATTTCGCATCTCCTGTGTGCGACACCGAAGCGCCTAATCGCTACATCACAGACGCCGGTTCACTATTCGTGATAATCTCGATATCAAGATGTGCGCGTGCGCGTGTGCGAGCGCGTGTGCGAGCGCGCGGTGTGTGTGTGTGTGTGTGTGTGTGTGTGTGTGTGTGTGTGTGTGTGTGTTTGTGTGTGTGTGTGTTATTTTCCTTTAGTAGACCCGTGGTTATGCCCTTAGAGTATGACTGGACTTTTGAGATTGATGCTCAACAATTGTAACTGCTGCTGAAGCCGAGGTGCTTCCAGACATTCAATTTTTTGTGTTAAAATGTCTATTCTCGCCCTTGACATAAGGCCTACGCACGCACGCACGCACGCACGCACGCCACGGCTTAAACAGCACAAGCTCGGTCACGGGTGGATACATACATCTCGTAAATATAACACATGTTCACATATAGACGAACTACTTCCCGAATTAAGCACGCTCACACACACACACACACACACACACACACACACACACACACA